AGGGAAATGTAAATTAAAATAACAATGAAATATCACCTAATCCCAGTGAGAAAGTCTTATATCAAAAAGTCTACAAACAGTAGATGCTGGCATGGATGCAGAGAGAAAAGAACACTTAGGTTTTGTTGGGGGGACTGCAAACTAGTACAACCTCTATGGAAAACTGTATAGAGATTACTCAAAGAACTAAAATGGACCTACCATTTGATCCAGCAATCCCACTATTAGGTATTTACCCAAAGGAAAAAAAGTCATTTTATCAAAAAGACATCTGCACTGAAATATTTAGAGCAGTACCATTCACAATGCAAAAATGTGGAATCAACCCAAGTGCCCATCAATTCGTGAATGAGTGGATTAATAAAATGTAGTGTATATATACCATGGAGTACTACTCAGCCATAAAAAGAATCAATACCTTTTATAACAATCTGGATGGAACTAGGGACCATTCTCCTAAGTGAAGTATCACAAGAATGGAAAAACAAACACCACATGTACTCACTATTAAATTGGAACTAACCGATCGGCACTCATGTGTACAGATGGAAGTAACACTCAATGGAAATCAAGCAGCTGGAATGGGGGAAGAGGGGATGGGTGAAATCATACCTAACAGGTACAAGGGACACTATCTGGGTGATGGGCACACTTATAACTTTGACTCAAGCAGTACAAAAGCAATCCATGTAACCAAAACATTTGTACCCCTGTAATATCCTGAAATTAAAAAAAATGGAATTTCATTAGATGGATTAAACTGTCCTGTGAGACAGAGATAAAGAAAGAATATTTAAGATGGAAGGAAAAACTAAGATGCCACAGAAATCATTATAGAAAGATGAAGTTTTTGAAAACATGGAAGACAGGCAAGAGACATAGAGGATACATCAAGCAGTTCCCACTTGCTATCTGATTCAGAAAGAAATAATGGAATGATTGAGAGATAGTGTTCAAATAAATGATGGTTCAGAATTTTTCAGAACTGAAAATAAACCCTGATATTTTTCAGTGATGGATAGTTCGGAGGATAAAAAAAAACAACTACAGAGTCATCATAGTGAAAATGCACAATCTGAGGCTGAAGAGAAGATTCTAAAATATAATAGAGAGAAAAGACAGATTACTTACAAACAAATGACAGTCACTCAATTCTTGTCAGCAGTAATACTATGTAAGACAATAGAATATTGGCTTCAAGGTATTAAGAGAAAATATAATTATATTAAATATATAATATTATGTAAAATACAGAAAACTATTATTCATAAAATAGCAGAAATTAGAAATAGTTTGAACATAAAAAAATTTACTATTCCCAATGGACAACGAATTGAGAAGGAAAGTATTAATGGTAACAAAAGCTTCCAGACTGAGGGAGCAGAGATGGGAACAAAAAAGCTAAGTAAAAAAATTAATCAACTTAACAGAATTCAGAAAAATAAAAAATAAAAAAACAAAGGGGAAAACATAAATAAAAAGCATATGATTGAAAAATAAATATATTAGCAAGCATAATAAATGTAAATAGTTTCCTTTGATTCAACAACAGAGATCTAAAGTTAGATAATTTAAAATCCAGTTATGAGTGTTTGCAAGATGTACATTTAAAACAAACTACATAAAGAGTTGAACATAAATACAAGGAAAAATAAATACAGGCCGAATGCAGTGGCTCCTGCCTATAATCCTATCACTCTGGGAGGCTGAGGCGGGAGGATGGCTTGAGCTCAGGAGTTTGAGACCAGCCTGAGCAAAAGTGAGACCCGGTTTCCAGCAAAAACAGAAAACATTATCTGGGCATGGTGGCTCATACCTGTACCTCCAGCTACTCAGAGGCTGAGGTGAGGGATCGCTTGAGCCCCGCAGTTAGAGGTTCCTGTGAACTGTGATGTGATGCTATTGCACTCTACCTGGGGCAACAGAGTGAGACTCTGTTTCAAAAAATAAAATAAAATAAAGTAAAGCAAAATAATATGAGATAAATAACTCCTCCCCCCCAAAACAGCTGTAACAATATTAATGTAAGTCCAAAGAGAATGTAGCTAAAATAATTACTTTGGGCAGGTCAGTTAGCAACTTTCTTCTTTAGTTTTCTCATCTGTAGATAACAATACCAACTATCTCAAAGTTTTGTGAGCAATGAGTTAACAAATGTATGGTGCTTAAAATAGTACATTATTTGATGAGTACAATGTATGTTATTGGGGTGAAGGATACCCTAAAAGGCCTGACTTCACCACTATGCAATCTATGCAGGTAACAAAATTGTACTTGCACCCCTATATTTATAAAAATTTTAAAAGAAAGGAAAGGCTTATAAAACAAAACAAAGCAAACAAAAAAACCCCATCAAAAACAAACAAACAAACTATAAAATATAATAGAGAAATTTTGTTGCCATCTCTGTCTCAGTCTACTACCTTCCCCACTGCCAACTATAGGTAACCACTTTTGTTTCTTACTTATTAAAAAAATTCTTTATTCAGAAACAAGCAAATATAATTACATGTTCATATTTCCCCTTTCTGCACTTTGCTTTTTGTAGGGTATCCTGGAGATTTTTCTATGTGAACACATTAACAATGCTCTCTTTTTTTTTATAGCTGCATAATATTCAACTTGGTCAATATACCACAATTAATTTACCCAGTGTTCTGTTGGCGGACAATTGGGTAGTTTCCATCCTTTGATGTCAGAAATAATGCCTCTGTGCTCATATACAAATCATATGTGTCATATTTGTAGGACAGATTCTCAGAAGTGGGATTGTGAGTCAAAGAGCAGATGCATTGGTAATTTTGGTAACTAGTAACAATTTTATTTCCGTAGCAATCATCCCATTTTGCAGTTCTATCAGCAATGTATCTCATTTACTTCTGTTGGGAGTAAAAATCAGCATACGAGATTTGGAGAAAATTTTGTGGTCATCTAATAAAAATGAAAGTGTCTATGGAATTTCAACTCCTAAATACATAATCTAAAGAAATTCTCAAATACGAGCACAAGGGGACATGTCAAGTATGATTTGGAATAATGTTTATCTCTATGGGAATAGATAAATAAAATGATATATTAATACAGATTAAACATAGCAGTTAGAAGAATTGAATTAGAGCTATTTATGTCAACAGGGCTAGATCAACCCAAAATGTTAAGTGGAAAAAGGAAGTTGCCAACTTGTGTACACAACATAATACTATTCAGGAAATTTTTAAAAGTACACACAAAAACAGTATAAATTGTTTATGGAGATATATGTTTATATATGTATACTTGTACACACACTTAAGCATTAAAAAAAAAAAGACCTAAAAATCCACATCTAAAACTTATGGCAAGTCTTTCTCTCTGGATGGCATGTGGAACTATTCAGAAGTGAAAGAGAACCAGTGTATGGTAAGCACTAGATAACATTTATTATTACTGTTAATAGATCGTGTTTTTGTTGTTAGAAACAAATAAGGCAGAAATTAACGGTCGTTAATTCTGGTTATGGTAATATCATTATTTGTTATATTATTTTTGTCTTATTCTGTGTATTTTATATTATAAAATATTTATTGAAGAGAAATATGAGTGAGACCCTGAACTAATTTGCATAACTAATTGCTGTGTAGCATTGCTTGCTCAAGATGTTCCTTCTTTCCTTTCTTCCTTCCTATCTTCTCTCCTCCCTTCCTCCCTTCCTTTCCTTCTTTTCTTCCATTTTCTCTCTTCTTGCTTCCTTCCTTCCTTTCTTCCTTTTCTTTCTTTTTTTGTTTTGTTTTGTTTTGTGGTCAGTAAATAAACATGAGATCTCAAAACACAAATTAAATTGCCAAGTGTAGGACCAGCTAGAACATAAATATTCAAGTATATTTCTTTTTTGAACACCCCATTGCCCATTCCATTTTAGAGGAAAACCTTAGTAAGGCAGAGGCATCATGGAGCACACAGTCATGCGTGGTCTCTGGGTGACCACTTATTTTTAGATAGGAATAGGAGAGAGACATCTTGACTTGAAAGCTGATCTCTTTCCAACACATTTACTGTTCTATAAAAAGGAGATAATACAGGATTTCTTTTTGTGATGAAAATGATGAATAAATGATATGTTGTTTTTAGAACTACTAAATATTCTGTGTTTTGTTTCTGGAAACCCCCAGCAAAGGCAACACTGTATATTAGTAATAATTAATAGTCACAGTGCAGGCTGCAGAGCCAGGCAAGGAACCCAGGTGTGGCTGACATCAAGCACCTGCTCTAAGCCCTGTGCCAAGCAGAGCAAGAACTGTCCCCTCATCCGCACCGACAGCCCCTCTGCCCCACACCCTGCCTTCCTGGTACGGCTGAGCCACACCTCACTTTCCTTCATCCTGGAGAGCTACGCTCCCTGAGTTTGCAACCCAGAGAAACAAGGAATGACATTTTTTTCTGGTTTTTTATTCCCCCTTGTTTTTGATCCAGAAGTCCTAAGCAACCTTAAGGGTTTTTTTTTTTTTTTCTTCTGAAAATCTGCAAAAAGAAGGAAAACAAATCTGGGATCAGAGCATTTCTGTTCCCAGCTCCCTTCTGGCTCCTCCCCCTGCGGAACCAGACCACCTCCACGGCTACACCCAGGGTAGGTCCCTGCCTCAGGCCATGGAGTAACAAGCTGCAGTTGCAGGGACCCTTGGGAGAGGGCAGGGCCAGACAGACACGCTCAGACCCCACAGCTGCTCAGCAGGATTCGAGGAAGCCACCACCCTGCAGGGGACCTGGCCTGGCCAGAGGCGGCCTTAGCAGTGTGTGGGTTCTTAGAGGCCAGGTGCCCTGCCCAGCCAACTGAGACCAGTGGTGAGAGAAGCAGCTGCTTTAAAAAGAATAAAGGACAAAATGATGAGTCTCCAGGAGAATGTCACAACCATGTTTACTGTCTGGCTCCTTCTCTGAAGAGCATTGTCCTGAGAGCCTGCTCTTAGGCACGAGATTGCAGGCTCAACATGCGATGATGAAACAGGAAATGAGGCTTGAGACAGCAAAGAAAACTCGACTTGCCACACGTGTGTGCTGCTCCTCATGCAGCTTTCTTCCCAGGCTTGTTCTGTCTCACGTGTGGCCCCTCCTCAAGAGCAGGGCCTTGCCTTCCTCGCTCCAGCACCCCCCAGGGTGACTAGCAGAATGTATAAGGGTGGCAGGTCCTGAGTGAATAAACATCAATTAAGTGAATTCATTCTAAGCAGATGTTCTCGAATGTACAGGAGTCAAGGCCATTGAGAGCAGAGATTTGCTGAGACTTTAGAAAATGGAACTAGTATTCCTTAATGGAAAATGGGTCTCCATAGGTACAGCTGGACCAAGGATAATGGCCAAGAGATATATGAAAAGATGCTCAACTTCATGAATCCTCAGGGAAATGCAAATCAAACCCCATTAAGATATCACTTCACACTTATTAGGATGACTATTATAAAAAAAATAAAAGGTAAGTGTTGGCTAAGATTTGAAGAAATTGGTTGTACACTGTTGGTGGGAATACAAAAGGTGCAGCCACTATGGAAAACAATATGGAGGTTCTTCAAAAGATTAAGACTAGAACTGCCATATGATCCAACAACCCCACTTCTGGGTGTTTAAACAAAAGAAATGAAACCAGGATCCCAAAGAGACACCTGCATGCCCATGCTCAATGCAGCAGTATTCACAATAGCTAAGGTGCAGAATCAATGTAAATGTCTACTGAGGGATGAATGGATAAGGACAATGTAGTATATCCATACAATGGAATATTATTCAGCCTTTAAAAGGAAGGAGATCCTGCAATATGTGACATCACGTATAGACCTGGAGGATCTTACGCTAAGTGAAATGAGGCAGTCACAGAAAGACAAATATTGCATGAATCCACTTACATAAGATACCAAATATCGTCAAACTCATAGAAACAGAGAGCAGATTGTAAATTACCAGGGACTGTGGGAAGGAGGAAATGGAGAGTTAGTTGCTATTCAAAGGTATAAAATTTCACTTATGCAAGATGTATAAATTCTAGAGATCTGCTGTTCGACATTGTGCCTGTAGTTAACAATACTGTATTGTGCACTTAAAATTTAGGAAGGTAGATTTCATGTTGTGTTCTAACCACAGTTTTTAAAAATGCAGCCAGGTGGGACGTTTACTGGTCACCATTCTTTATGTGTGGTGCAAGCTATTATATACCACAGAACACACATACTTACAGAAGTATATGTATTCTCCTGTGTCTAAATTTGTAATAGCTTCAACTTGAAGAAATCTCTCACCAAAAAGATGACAAATGGCAATTATGAGTGGCCACATTTCTGTGTTTGATATCTGATGAACTTGCTTTCTTTTGTGCTAATGCTTCATATTTATTTAGAAATTGATAAAGCCATTGTCTCAGAAGATCATATAACATTTTACTGTGGTTACAATGTGGTTTCATTAGTTACGCAGTGAATACCGATGGGACATGAATATGCTCCATGCACTGAGTGCATGTCCAGGTGCTGGGGACATAGCTAGGGACAGGCCATATATGAAGCTGTGGTTCGAGCAGGAAAGATAAGTAGAGCCTGTCTGAAAGGGTGACATTGAGCAGAGACCTGATGAGCTGAAGTAGTGAGTCTCATGGAGCTCTGAGGGAAGATCAGACCACAGAAGGACTCATGTCCTTCTGAAATGGGATGTGCCTGTCATATCTGAGGAGCAACCAGGAGGCCAGGAGAGTTGGAGTAAAATGAATGGGGCAGGCAGAGGCAGGAGACTAGGTCTGAGGGGTGGGCAGGGATTAGAAAAGTCATTGGAGGTCATGGTAAACTATCTCTGTTTATAGCAAGAACAGTGGTAAGCCGATGGAGGGCTGTGAACAGGAAGCGATGCTATCTGGTTTATATTTTACAATGCACTAAATAAATGCAGTGGTCAAGCATGCATTCACCATCCATTCGTTTATTCATTGAGCACTTCCTCTACACTCAATTAGCTAATGAGCGGGACTTCCCTGGGCCTGTTTCCTTACCTATAAAGTGGGCTCTTCTGTGTCATCCCTTCCAGGTGTCAAATGTCTGTCTCTGAGAAGGGTTAGGCTCTCTGGCCTCAGTCACCTACCCTCAAGGGTTGTTTGCCTGGGAGTTGTGTCATAGCAATGCAGTTTTGGGAACCTACCCATCATTCATTTGGAGATGCACTCAATGTGTCAGGTCCTGGGACCATATTTGAAGAAGATAGTATAAACGCAGAGGTCCAGGCCAGTATAGGCCCAGAAAAAAAAGGTAGTGGAGTTGTGAGGCTTATGGAGATGATAGCAGAGTGTCTGTAAGAGCAATGAGGTTTGGGAGGATTTTAAGTGAAGATAAATATTTAGCTTCTGTGAAAGGAGAGAGAGCAGCAAAATCAGAAATTGCACTGGAGAACAGTCATGATGGAAGTAGAGGTGAAACTCCACCTGGCAATGACATTAGGGCTGGTGCTGAGGTAGAAGTGACAGAGCTGTGGACTGCACATGAGGCGATATTGGTATTTGCGTTCTCCCCACACGTAAGGAGCACGTCAGTCGGGATGGCAGCGTTCATTTCGCAGGCGGTGCGCGATGCTCTACCCCGGCCACAGTGAGCCGAGGAGGCCTGGGGTGCTCCCTGCGGTCACCCCACCCATCAGGCAGCCGCGCAGCCCTCTGGCATCGAGCGATTTGTCCAATTAGGTTGATCACAAGCCACTGGCTTTGACAGTAGCATTCTGTAACCAAAGACATTTAAAAAGAAAAAGGGATCATCACAACAAGAGGGTCAGCAGCACACGGTCCTGGTGAAAGGCAGCACCACTGGGGGACTTCTGGAAAGCTCTTAACTCTTCTGGGCTCTGGTCTCCTTATTTGGACAATGGGGCAACGACGTCACCCTCTCTCACCATTGTCATGAGGCATAGATGAAGTGCTGCACAGAAAGACCTTTATACGGTGGTTGGCACATGCCAAATGCTCTTTAGACACGAGCTGACAGCCCATCTAAATAGTCACAACGCTGCAGAAGAATGATGCTCTGCCGAGCCCAGGGACTGCATTAGATGGTGTCCCACGCTCCAAGGCTCCAGCCCTTTACCCGAGTTAGAGGCAAAGACACTTTCGCACTTCCGTGGGCACAGTTCCACTCTCTGCTCTCGGTGCGTGAGAGTCAGCAGGCTGTCCCCTGAGCAACCTCGCAGGCAGGCGCTTGTCTTCTCAGGGAGTTCTCTGTGGTTTGAGTCTGGTCCAAACCTATAGGCAGAGACACCTGAGTCTGTAACCACCCCGACGACCTATTCACTTCTCTCGGGCAGAGGGACGTATATACAAGCATGCAGACACACTGATTGCAAGGGAGTAATCGCCACGGAAAGAGGCATTCCTGTTACCTGTGTGACTCCGTGCATGTGTCATTTACCTCGCTGTGGTAACAAAGCAACATGAAGAGAGAGTCAACACACTGATTTACAATGCAAATGGCTCTACAGGCATGTCCCTGCTCAGAGTCTGTGAGGTCAGGGGAGAGTCACTCTGCAGGCTGCGTTTCCCAGGGAGGAAGGGCAGACCCAGGGACAGGGCAGGTACCTGGGTGGATGTGGAGCCCAACCAAGAAGAGCAGTTTGAATGGGACGTTTGAAAGGGTCAGGCAAACCCACTTCACCCAGGGCTGGGCTCGCCACAGGCACAGCAGCCTTTGAATGCGTGGGTTACAAGGCCCTGCCTCTGTCCCCACACAAAGGACAGTCTTGCCAGTGCCGCTGGCATCCTTGAAGCCCTTTAGTCATGGTTCCTTGTCCCACTGGCTCCTCCGGCGGACGCTGGCCTTGGTCTCTAGTAACTCGTTCCTTCTCTGCAGGTCAGTCTCCCTTGTCACCCCCACTGGAATGATTTCTTTTCTTTTCTTGTCTTTTTTTTAAGCTTTTTTTTTTTGTGCGTGTGTTTGTTTTGCTTAATTGAGGTATAATTGACAAATAAAAATTGTGTATATTCAAGGTATGCAATGTGAAGTTTTGATATACATCTACATTGTGAAATGATTTCCACAATCAAGCTAGTAACATGTCTATCACCTCATATAGTTACCTTGTTTGTGTGTGTGTGTGTGTGTGTGTGTGTGTGGTGAGAGCACTTAAGATCTATTGTCTCAGCAAATTCTAAGTATGAAATACATTATTATTAACTATGGACACCATGCTGTACAACAGAGCTCCAGAACTTAGTCATTATATAACTTGTTTGTACCCCTTGATCAACAATTTCCCATTTCCCCTATCTCCACTTCCAACCCCTGGTAACCACTCTTCTGCTATTTCTATGACTTTGACTTTTTTAGATTCCACATGTAAGTGACTTGTTTTCTCTGTTGTCATGTCAATTTCATGAGTCAGGGAATGAGTTAATGAGGAAGAGGCTGTGGTATTTCTCTTTAAGGTATTTATATCGCCTCTGAACTATTCAACACTCCTTTTTCTGATGGCAGTTTAATTTCAGTTATTTCCAAGTTATTTCAAGATCTATAGACATCTTCAAGTATTGAAAATAAAAACAAGTATTTCTGGAGTTTTCCTACATTTTTCCTCTTTCATTCTCTTCCCATATCATCTTGACATCCTCTCTATTTTTTCCAAATCTCTGGTGCACTAGGTTACAGTTCTTTGCAGGGCATCTTTGGGTCACAGTTGGGTACGAAATCTTCCTCCTCCTTAAGAGCTTTCTTGCCCATGAATTCACCAATAACCCCAAGGAAGATCTGACATGGAGAAGAACAGGTAATGTTCTTCCAACCAGCCAGTGTCATTTAGAGCTTTGTTTTAGACAAGAATGTTAATTCAGGATACAGACTCTGGCCTTATGCAATCAAACTTCGCATTTTATCAAGTTAATAAATGAATTAATCACGCAAGAGTGGAGGAGCCCAACAAAGATATCCGTACGTGCCAGGAAGGGTTGGGAGAATGAGGTTCATGTTGGAGGACATGCAAAGTCATCACAAATAAAATTCATGTTTGTATTTCCAGCTTAATTGCTCATGGTTAAAAGGAAAATAATAGAAATGAGGTTTTGTTTACATAAAGCATAAAACTTTGTCCTGGGAACTTTTGTCCTCTTAATAATCCCCAGCAATGTGGACATTGGAAGGTGACTGACTGTGTGGAGTTTTCACAGGAAAAGCAATGGGAGCCAATTTAGAAGTTAAGAAAATTTTACAATGCCAGTGGATAGTAATGATTTCCTCTTTGTACCATCAAAAGTTGAGGAGCTGCAACTGCTTGGGGGATGCTGTTTTCATGTTGTCAGCATCTTTTTATTTGAAATTAGCCAAAATTTGCTCTTTGGGTAAAGCCAACCAAACATCCCTTTGTGTACCAGCTATGACTACCGTAGTATCAGGGAATACTGTGCTGCTGAAAAACAGGGTCTTCTAGAATGCTCCATTTCATAGCAATGCACTGTACTGTAGGTTCTGGAAAATGATGTCATAAATCCCCCTAAATAACACCCTCTGTCAATGCAATTGTGTCTATGAAATCATCCAGCCGTCCTGCCCACATGAAGTGAACATGAAGCTTGGGCTGTGCTCTGTAACGGTGAAGACAGCAGGTGGCCATTCAGACGGTCCCCAGATCAAACCCATGGCTGGCTGTCCTCATTATTTTCTTCTCTGACACAGTTGATCCCTTTCTTTCCCCCTTCATCCTCCACCTTTTTGGCTTTTTTTGGGGGGAGTGGGGGGTTCTGCTTCCAACTTGCTTGAAAATTCACTTAGTGTTTTCTCTTTTTGTCTTGTAGATTTTTTAGTAAGCCAGGCCTAAATTCCCCAACCCCCTGTATTTCTCTCTTTTAATCCTTTGCCCACTGTCTTCTCCCATCAGTAACTACAACCCCAAATCAACATCTACTCATTACTGGTGCACAGAAGTGCTTTCTGCAGGTTGCCAGAGACCCAACTTGGCTCTTACCTTGTTCTTGTGCTTCGCAGGCAAGCTACAGTCCTTCCCCCATCAGTTCACAAGGAGGTTTTTCAGAAAAAAATGGTGCCATAGAATGTTCATGGTCAGTCAAAGATGAGTTCCTTCATTAAAAACAAAAACAAATGCAAACAAACAAAGCAATGAGCTTGGCCCAAATGACCTCAGAATTGTTATTAGAGTTAAAGGTCACCTATAGGAACTGGTCCAGTGGGTACCTGGCACAGAGCAAGTGCTCAGCAGATATCTGTCCCCTTCTCCACTTAATGTCAATCATTCTTTGAAGCATGACCGTGTTACTTGTCATCTCTTACAACATTTCTCCCTCCTCCCACTATGGGTTCAAGTGTCTTCCACCAAATCGTTCTCTTTTCCCTCAGTGAGAGTTCTGTACCCCACATCTCCTGCTCCTGCCAGCCCCCAAGTATTCCATTCATTGTGCAGCCAATGCATACCTTACGCCTTTGAAGGGCTCAGTATACAATTCATTAGTCGTACTGTGTGTTCCATGGTTCAACACGTGCACGAAAATAAGACAGTGATCCAAAGAAAGCTGTAACTTCACAGGAGAAAGCAGCAAGAGGCACTAGGCCTGGGCTGGGTGGAAATGCAGCTGGGAACACCTCACCTTGCTAGCATCTCCACCTGCAGAGCCCATGCATCTTGCTTTACTGGGAGTTGGGAGGATTAAGAGTTTCCCAGAAAATAATTTAAACCTCATCCACAGATAGGCTTCAAACAGTCGATGCAACTGACATTGGTGAGCTCCTGCTCCACGCCAGACTCCCCTCTGATGCTTATTGATGTAGCCAACATGTAATCACACCTCCAAACACTCTGAATATCCGACTGTTAGGTTAGGCGGCAGGGCAGGAGGGGGGAAGGGCCAGGCAAGTTAGACAAGGTGCTCAAAGCTACATGGGGAGACTTGAACTCAGGCAGTCAGCTTTGAACAGCTGGGGAAGGAGGTGTAGAGAGGGCATCAGAAGCTAAATGATAATGGGATCCTGAGCTGAATGAATCTGGAGGAAAATTCTACCCTGGGCGGTGGGAAGGGGGGGTGATTAGCTAAGGCCTGGGCCTGGGGCTGGGAGGAGAACAGTGCATTGGTATTTGGGCATTTGGTATTTGCCTCCAGGCTGATCCAGCCTGCCCATCCCTCCCTCCCCACAGTGCACAGCTCTTGGGCTGAAAAGGGCACATTTAAAGGAGCCATGAATCTACAAGGAATTTGGCAGTGGTGGCAAGGGGCTTGCTGGGCCACAGGCTGTCCTGCTTTAAAATGTGGGGGAGTGGATTTGTGCTCCTACCAGCAGTGGATAAGAAGACCTGCTGCCTGTACCCTTGCCACACTTGATAGCATCAAAGATTTTAATTTCTGTCAAATTAGTGTATGAAAGATATTCTCTCGTTGTTTGTATTCCCTGGGTTGCTAGAAAGGAACATCATTGTTCTATATATTTATTTGCCACTTTTATTTCCTCTTCTCTGAATTGTCTGTTTATACTCTCTACCCATTTTTCATTTTTTTTCTCTGTTCTTTTCTGCCTTTTCCTTGTAGATCTGTAGGAGTTCTTTATATAATTCTGGATTGCAATCCAGAACTGCAGTACAGGTTGCAGCTTGTTATATATATGTTGTATTTTCTCTCTGCTGTTCATTTATATTTCAACTTAGTTCACGGTAGCCTGTGTTGTGCACAAGTTTCCTAAAGAAGCACTCATTCATGGGAGCAAGGATATTTCCTAGCAGTGTAACTTGGAATTGGGAAAAACTGGAAACAACCTAAATCTCCTGCAGCAGGGGAATGTCTGATTAAATTACACCATAGCCATCCTGTGGCCTGTTCCACAGTAGTGTAAAAGAATGAAGTGGATCTGTTTTTGTTAATATGGAAGCATCTTCAAAATTTATTACTGAGTGACAAAATGGGTTACAAAAGGTAGCTCAATATTTAACATTTATTAAAAAGACATACACCTAGTAACAATTCTACATTTCCTATGAGTATGTGCATGTAGATAGAGAAAGAGACTGTGCATGCGTAAATATTCCTTTATTTGTATATTTATAAAAGTATAAGTATACTCCTGTGAATATCCTATGAGCACATGTCTCTGAAAAAAATTATACACAGATTGAAAACCGAAAATTGTGGTTACTTCTACAGAAACGGAAAGGGCACAACACGTGGGGCAGTAAGAGCTTTCGTCTTATCTATAACATTTAAGCGATTTACCAGGATATTGTTTCTGAATCTTTGTATACTTTAAATTAATTTAAAAAGAAAACAAGAAAGGGGAAGACATTTCCAAAACAGCCGTTGAAAAGTTGCAGAAGGAACCTGGGAACACGGGAGCACAGTCCGTGGGTGGCGAACAGCGGTGGTGAGGAGCAGCCAGCGCCCCCTGCGGAGCCTCCCGCTGCCCTAAGCGCTTCGCACACACTGTCCCTTTTCAGCCTCACAGAAGTGTCGCCGTTTCCAGTGGACGCACCTGGGCCCTGGGTTCTACCGTCGACACGAACTCTCATCGAAGGGTTTTCTCTTAGCAGGATAGTGTCTCCTTGGAGGAATTCTGGCAAATGAGATGTTCTCCGCCTTTTAGGACTACCTGCCGTTTGGCGCGTCCGGGAAGCATAGCGCGACAGGAGTCGCCTGCCAGACCCCGAGAAGGCTCTGAAGGCTGCACCCCTCCTCCTGCCTGAGTGTGGCTGCCTCCTTCCCGCTGCAGACTCCCACGCAGGCCTGCGCTTGGCTTCTGCTCTGCAGCCACCATGCCCGCTTCCGCCCCGGGGCACACTTTCTCCCCGGTCTGTGCGCCACCCTGCGCAAAAGGAGGTGGCTTCTCACGGGCTCCTGACTTAGGCAGTCTGGCACATTCTGAATTCGCTTTCTGTTGCCTCCACACACCCTCTGGGGACAATGACAGTACCAGTGTGTGCAGATGAGATCAGACTAACCAGAGGTCGTCCAACCTAATGCTTGGCCAGCAGCTGTCATGACAGAAAGCACACGGGTCCCTTCTCACTGCATGCGGCCCGGTGGCCTCGGCTGACGGGATGCAGCACCTGCTGTCTTCTGCAGGGAAGTTGTCTCCACGCTGAGGAGACCTCACTTTTCTGGGGCTGGAAGGGGCCAACCAGCGAAGGGTCTTGGGCCAGCCATTCGCTGCAGGAGGCCAAGGGTTCTTTTCTTTGAATGAAAAAAATATTTTTTTTTCCTAATGTTGTTTGCAAATTTCATAGCTCATTTATTTCTTTTTTTCCCAAACCTCTTAGTACAGATGGAAACGAAGTACCCACGATTTAGAGAGTTAGAAGGAAGGACAATTAGCATTTAATGTGCACTTACTTTGTCTCAGTCACTGTGTTGAGTAACGTCATATGAGTTAAAGCTCTATGAGCTAATGAAATCGTTACTCCTGTTGAGATCTCTGAGGGTTCTAGTTTCAGAATTCCCTTTGTAGACCTCCCGTGGTTCTGAGGAGCAAAGCCACTGGACAAGAGTATAGGGCAACCTTATTTCCAACTAGGATGTCCCTGAGCACATTGTCTAGATCTGTGCAGGTAGGCAGACTCACTCTACGTGTGTCACTGCACGCTGTACACCACAGAAATCGGTGGAAGAAGAGGAGTGCCGTGATAATCGTCTTCAGGAGTTAGAGGAAAAACAAATGTGACAGTAACAAAAGGAAAAACAGGATGCAACAGAGAAAGGACAAGTCTGGCTTTGAGTCCCTGTTGCCTAGGCTGACAATGGAGGCTGAGGGCCCATGGCAGGAGAAGTCCGTGAAGTAAGGACTGTTCAGGTCCAGTCCATCACCTCTGTGGTGGGCTGTCTTGGTGTCCTTGTGATACGGAAAATGTCGGGTGCCAGGACGCAGCCGCTTGCCGCCTCCCCATCGCTCCGCATCTCCATGGGCCAGCGCTGCACGTGGCCAGTTGGAGGGCAAGCTGCTGGGGCCAGGCCCTGTGGCAGAGAGACACCAGGGACCCCGCTTGCCAGAATGTCCTCGGGCCCACATGCCACCGCCCGTTTCCGGGGACGCTGCTCCCATGATCCTGATTGGGTAATTTTTGAATCCCACTGTTTTTGATTGGATGTTAAAGCTTGATGTTGATTGGATGTTAAAGCTTGATGTTGATTGGATGTTAAAGCTTGTAGTTGATTGGATGCTTTTTGAGCCCTACCAAGGGTATAAAAGCAGGAGAACAAGGAAGGAAGGGTCAGAAGATCAGAAGATGCTCGGTTCTTTCCCCAGTCAAGAGCTATAACACTAGCTGTACACATTGCCCCAACAGTACCTCCCACAATCCCCTCCCCAGTATGGTCTGAACCCTGATTTTTAAAAACGCCTGATGAATAAAGTAACCATATAATTCATTGTCCAAACCAGGATATTTTTGAGAATGAAGAGGGCCACTATTAAAAATCACATGAGGACAACACACATAAACTAAAATTGTCCCAGGAGAACAAGTCATTCTACTTATAGAGACAATTAGGGAAATTTCTGGTCCAGAAACATGAAAAGGCCTTGCTGACAAGGGTGTCCAGAAGCTTCTAAGAGTAGATTTGGATGGGAAACGAAGTCCACAAAGAAAAAGACAGGTTTCCTTAGAGGTAAACAGGGACTGAGAAAGAGAACAGTTTAGTTTGGCCTTGAGAAATAATTGAGTTAGTATTAGAAAAAGAAACTGGAGATAGGAACAAGGAAATAAAGGCCTCAAGTATCCAGATCTTGAAATGAAACTATGTGCCTACAATTTGCTCTCTGCATTTTGGAGTTCATGTTCTTACATTCCAAACAGCTGGTTATATTTTATACTCCATGGCTCATTTACAAAAGGAGGCACTGAGCAAAATATTAATAAAGAAAAGTTTACAAAGGTGGGATGGTAGGTTCAGTATTGTTAAAATAAATATACTTTTGATCTGAATCCTTTATTTGTGCTATCTGTCCTTGGTATGTGCATACACACGGGCTCGCACACGTTTTCCATTAATTTGGAGTTTTCCATCAATGGAGTTTTCCATTAATTCTTATTCACTGTTTGGTTTCCTTCTTTATATTTATTTATCGCTGCCATTCATTGTGTCCCTGCCACACCAGGCACTGTGAAAGGAAATTCACATTTACTGTCTTTAATTGTTTAAGAACACCAAAAGATACTATGAGCCATTTTCCAGTTGAGGAAATCAAATTTTCAAGATTTTCTCCAGGTTCACACAGCTGGTATGTTTTTCTTTTCCAAATTCCTGACTCACCCAATCACTAGATTCCTTCTCCTAATTGGGTCACTGCAGCCCACCCTCTCCATGGCTGCTGCCTGCTCCTGCTGGAAGCCCCACACCTGCCTGCACACCCGCAGGGACCTTCTAACCAGCCTGGGCCTCTGGTCTTACCTTCCTCCCAGCCACGCTCCTCTGCGGCCAGAGGGCCAGAGTCATATGCTTAGGACGTAAATCCTCCAGCCCTTCAGAGCCTACGAGATAACACCTGGGTGTGGTGTACAAATCCCTTCAGGGTTTGGTCCCAGGTTAGCACGTGGCCAATGTTTCTGCTCACGCTCATAATAACTGTATGCACCGTTCTTCCTTCCCGACACCCTCCACGTCCTCTACCTGCCTTGCTCTCGACGCTCACTCAAGACACAGTTCAGGTTGCCTCCCTCCTTGATCTTTTCATGAGGAAGGGTCAAGAAAAGACACCTGTTTAAATTACATCCTTTCTCTTTATGGGGATAAAACTGACCCAAAATATGGTATGTGCCCTTAAGTACCATAACAATTTTTAGGAAAATATGTGGTTATATAGGTTAATTATCTTTCACTCACACTAGATGACTGGTCCCCGGAGATTAGGGCAGCAGCGGTGGTGGCCACCTCCTAAGATTGTCCCCAGTAGTCCCCACCCTCTGTGTGGTCCCCCACCCCTACCCTCCGCATGAAAGGAGGGTTGGTCTGCGGGACCAAGAGAGCACAGCAGACGTAATAGTACTAGTACGTGACGTCGTGGTGGCTGCTCTGCTCTCCCCACCCCTCTCTTCTCTCAGCTCACTTGCTCTGGAAGAAGCCAGCTGCCACGTCTTCAAAATACTCACACGGCTCCATGGAGGTCCACCTGGCATGGAGCTGAGGCCACATCGGCGAGCCATCCTGGGAGCAGGTCCTCGGGTCCCGGTGACACCTTCAGACAACAGCAGCCCAGGCTGACATCCCACTGCAGCCTCACGAGGGACCCGGAGCCAGAACCTCCCCACTCAGCTGCTCCCGGGTCCTTGACCCTCAGGTGCCGTGCGAGAGATGCGTGCTCATCGCCGTCCTCAGGCACTAAGTCTGGATGTGCTTTGAACTGGCTCAAAAACACCGCAGCCCAGAGCTGAGCAAGGTGCCTTTCACCTACTTCACACCCGGCAAATCTGTCACAAACCTATCCTGGGAAGGGGCCTCACGTCTGAAAAAATTCGAGAATAACCGACCTAAGTATATGGACAGGGACAGCTCTTTCATTCTGTTTGGACCTTTGCGTTATGTCCCAGCGATAGAAGCACAATTACAGATATCCTTTCAGGGTGAGAAAATTAAAAAGGAGGAAACATTTTATAGATGTCACCTCCAGAGGTCAGGTGGAGTGGTGGTCAGGTTTACAGACTGTCTGAGCTCTGGTCTCAGCAATTACTTATTTTGTGACTGTGAGTGACTCTTAAACCTCTGTTGGATTGTCTGCGAACCGGGTATAAACAGTCAGGGCTGATGCTTTCCCTTTGATTTCACAGATTAGAAATCTGTGTCGTTGAGGGCTGAAGCAATCCCCCCAGCTCACACAGCTCATTGAGTGCAGACCTGCTCTAGAAAGGGCGGGTGTGTTATCAATTGTGCTCCACTGTCTGTCAGTAACAACACCATGTTGGGGTGAGCATTAAAGAAGCTAATGCACGTTAAAAACTTAAACTGGTGTCGAGCATAATAATCATATAACCAGTGTTGGCACTTTATTCATTTAACTCAACAGCTAATGCCCAGCCCTCAGCCCCATAACTCTGTGGTTCTCATTGGCTGCTGCACTCTAGGATTATTCAGAAAAGATAAGGGTT